CCATGCCCAGCTGATTTTTTGTATTTTTAGTAGAGACGGGGTTTCACCATGTTGACCAGGATGGTCTCGATCTCTTGACCTTGTGATCCACCCGCCTCGGCCTCCCAAAGTACTGGGATTACAGGCGTGAGCCACCGCGCCCGGCAACTTATGCTTTCTTAATATGACCAAGTGAGCTAATAAGCAGCTGAAGAAGGATGATCAATTCTGAATGTACTTTTATTTTTGAGGGGCAGAGTGGTGGGAGGTTGGGGTTGGGAAGCTTTACTTAAGGAAATAATCCATGTAGGTAATCTGTGTATTGAGCATAGCACATTTTAAATTCAAAATGTTTAAAGTCAGCTGTTGAACAAGAAGCCTCTTTAATACTAAGAAGTTACAATCTAAGATGGCTTCCCCCATTCGTCAGAACAACAGCTTCTTCTTAAAATGCTTTTGGTTGAGTAAGCAGCAAAGTCAGCACATGGATTCGCCAGGAGAAAACCCACTGCCTGAAAATCAGGGCCTCCACTCATCTCCTCAGAGCCTCAGGCACCACCAGGGGCTGGCAGAGCCCTCCTGGAGTCTAGAGCTCTACAAACGCTCACTAAGCGACCAGGCCCCTCAGAGGAAAGGACAAGGCATGTGATCTAATCCATTCAATGAATTATTCCGTTCTGTTACATGAGCCCAGAAGTTTGAGACCAGCCTGGGCAATGTGGTGAAACCTTGTCTCTACAAAAAATACAAAAATTAGCTGGGCAGGGGGGCGGAAGCCTGTAGTCCCAGCTATTCGGGAGGCTGAGGTAGGAGGATTGCTTGAGCCCAGGAGGTGAAGGTTGCAGTGAGCTGAGACCGTGCCACTGCACTCCAGCCTGTGCCACAGAGCCAGACCTTGTCTCCAAAAAATAAGAAAATAAAATAAAAATGAGGCATGCAAGTGAGACATTATAGTGGCCTAAACTAGGATGACTGCAATAGAAATTAAAAAAAAATTTTTAATGTATTTTTTTGAAATGACCATATCACTAAACTGTTGAGATTTCACAGTTAACATATTGCTCTTTTCTTTAAAATCTTGGTATTAAAAATGCACCTTTACCAGTTCACATATTTTCTGAGCATCTACTATGTGCCAGGCACTGTGCTATGTACTAGGAAAAGAGTAGGGAACAAAATTCACATGCTTCCTACTTCAACTCACCATCTAATGCACTAAATAAAAGCCTGAAGCAGCCGGGCGCGGTGGCTCAAGCCTGTAATCCCAGCACTTTGGGAGGCCGAGGCGGGTGGATCACGAGGTCAAGAGATCGAGACCATCCTGGTCAACATGGTGAAACCCCGTCT